GCAACTATAGGAGGTGCTAGGCTGGGGAAGACTAGGGGAAAGGGACTCCAGCCACGTGGCTATGAAGAAGCCATCAGCCATGCTGGGTGAAGACGTCCCAGTACTACTGCTTTGTGTCACTTACACTCCTGCCAGCAACCCCTCACTCATGCTCTGTAAATAAGTCCAATAAACGCAACGGTTCCCCAAGGGGAACTGTGGTCTGTCATTTGACCTTAGGAGAAGGGGTAGATATTTGTAACAGGACTAAAACACTGCCATTAGCCCTGCAGGGGTTCCTGCAGTAGCTCCTAGCTCTGAAATACATCCTGAGCTGTCCCCCAGCATAGGTTTTTACAGTGCCTTGAGAAGTCTATTCCCTTCGATAGGCATGAGGGTCCTCTCCCACCTGCCTGTCTGGCAGGTTCGCTACTTAGCTCCTCTCCTAATTGATAGCAGGAAGTTACATTTCTGCCAGATCCCTGATTGAATGATGACTAGACTCCCAACTCACAGTTCCCCAGTGAACTGGGGCAATCTTTGAATTCATGTGCCCCAAATGAATGAGCTTTGACTACATTCTAATGACATAGCTGGGGTGGAAGTTAACAAAGGGAAGAAATGTCATCTTCAAGTGTTAAAACAGGATGGTTATGTGCCGAACAGGGCTCCACCCTCAGGGCAAGGGTCCTGTTACGGGTGGTCCACAACTGAGATCACGGAGTGGGAGTTGCAGGCATAGTTTACCTCCTCAGTCCAAAAAATTCTTGTTTTTTAAAACTTGGAAGAAAACCTCTAGGGAATCATCTCATGAGCTATTTGACTCATGTCTAATATTGTTGGGAAGAAATAAAAATACTAAGTGAGTCTCATTAAAACACCACCACCACCACCACCCTCCACTCCCAGCATAAAACGCTAGGCTAGGTAATGGGATGTGCCTGTGGCTCCTCAGTGGCCCAGCCACAGCCTTGAGTCCATTAGAGAATATGTTTACAACGAGGAGTGCTGCAGCTCAGGAAATATGCTCTTGGCCATTTTGAGTCATATCACATGTCCAGAAGCCACAGATTTTCAGGAAACCTCAGGATGTGCACACATGACAAGTATTAACTGAACACCTACTATGTGAAGTCTCAGAGCAAAGTGAGGAGGATGTGCAGCTGTGTGAGATATGCACTGCTGGCTGGGCAGGCACCGTCTGGACCCTGTGTCTGCATTGCCTGGCATGGTACCTAGCCAGGTGATGGGCAGAAGGTGAGAGAAGAGAGGCAAAATTTCAAGATGAACCAACAGACTCATGTCAAGTTCCAGGCTGGGTCTGAAGCACAGAGTTGGGTTCTATTTCCCCAGGGCCCAGCTGTTACTGATCTCATGACCAATTAATACACAACCAAACACAGGAAGTCCACAGTAATTGTTTCTCAAGAGGGAGGAAGGAAGTCAGAGAGGAAGGGAGAAAGCTGGCTGCCTGGGCGTACCTTCAGATCCCTGAACACCCAGCCACTGTGGTGGGTTTTTGGTCCACAGGTGCCATCCAGCACACCCCCTGGGGGTCCATCATACTCACTCACCCACGCCTCTGCACTCTGTATGCCCTGGCTTCCTCCCTCTCTCCTTTCTTTTTCTTTTTCAGTTCCTCCCTTCCTTTTTTCTTTTTGAAAAGTATTTTATTTATTATTTTTATTTTATGTGTATGAGTGTTTTGCATGTTAGTGCACCATGTGTGTGCAATGCCATGAAGAGACCAGAAGAGGGTGTTGGAGCCCCTGGAACTGGAGTTACAGACAGTTGTTAGCCGCCATGTGGGTGCTGGGAATCAAGCCTGGATCCTCTGGAAGAACAGCAAGTGTTCTTAACTGCTGAGCCACCTCTCCAACTCCCCACCTTTTTTTCATTTTGAGATGGGATCTCATGTAGCCCAGGAAGGCCTTCAACTTGCTTTTTAACTGAAGATGACCTTGAACTTCTAATCTTGCTTTTGCCTCCTGAGTGCTAGGATTAAGCGTGTGTCACCATGTGCTAGGGATGGAACCCAAGGATTCATACATTCTAGGCAAACACTGTACCAATGGAGTTTTATCCCCAGCCAAGCCTTTCTAAGCCATAGTCTAACTCTAGCCAAAGGGCCAACTTCCTGGAGACCCTCAGGCCCCAGCAATTGCCAATAGACAAACATTTATTTAAGTGCCTCCTGTATTCTCAGTATGTCTAGCCTGAAAATTGGCACATGGGGTGGGACAAATCCAGAACCATTGAAAGGGTCAATCAGAAACAAATGTGAAACTTGGGTTGTCCTCAGGAACTCAGGGATGTGTGCCAGGATGTGCTGCGTGCCTCTGCCAAGGATGGGAGAAAGGACCAGTGTGGACCACCTGGAGGGGCCAAAATGGAAGTGGGGAGGCTTCTGAGCTAGCTCAGCTCTGATTGGCTGGGAGACTCTGGCTTTCCTGCCCACAGGTCTGGGTTGCAGAGAAGCCCCCTGCTCTGTCCTATAAAGGTCACAGAACCCAGCTGACTCTCAGTTAAATTGCTCTTCTCCAACTGGCTAGAATCCAGGCTGGCTTACTTATTGAGGACCCAGGGCAGCAGCTAACCTGGAGTCTGATTAGAATAGGGAGAGGCTGGCAGGCAGGTTTCCCCTACAGAGGGGTGAGGACAGTGGCCACCCCTCCACCAATTTCACAGTGGGTGAGAAGGCCACCTGTAGAAGGTGGTGTGTGTGTATGTGTGTGTGTGTGTGTGTATGTGTATATGTATGTGTGTGTATATTGTGTCTGCATACACATGTGTATGAGTTTGCACATCTGCCCACAGTGCTCACCAGGCAGAACCTTCCTCCCTTGAAGTTGGAAGGGGGCACCCACAGGAATTGATACTGCCAAGTCATCTCAGTTGTCCTAAAAATAAGGACACTTACAACTTACAACACAGGAAAGATTTTCCTTCCTGGATGCCCTGCCCTGTAGCCACATATGTCCCTGAGTGAAGCGATGCCAGGAGAGCCAGTGCAGTCTGCTATCTAAGATATCACCTAGAATCTGTGGACTGGTTATCTCTGAGTGGGGCTCATCATAGTGAGGGATGAGTCTGGTTTTGCTATATCCTACAGTGCACCAATTCTCCAGTCCATTAATCAAATATCTTCTAGAACTATCAGCTAAACAAATCTCTGTGAGCAACAGTGATTGTTAAACCTGTGAGCAGGAGTCTACAAAGCCTAGAGGGTCTGTCATGGATGGTGCCCTTAGAGCTGCTGGGCAACTCTCACTGAGTTAGTGTGACTCTCACTCGGTTTGTCTGACCCATCTTCTCATCCTCTCCACAAAGATTTTCTAGCTGCTTCTGCATACAAGTGTACTGCTGCCACAGGGCCTTTGCATGGGTTGTTGCTCCTAAACCACCTTCACGTTTTTTTCCCCCCTCAGTCACTTTTCTCCAGGCCCTCCCTGAGTACTTTGTCCAAAATGGAAGCCCCAACACATACCCTTCCCCCCTTTTTTGACTTTATTAGTTTCTCTGTAATGAGTCCAGTGGCCCAAGCTTTACTCTGCTTTTCTTTTGCCATCAAAAGCCAGAGCCTGTGAATTCACTGGGGACAGAGAGAGCTCTCAAAAAATACAGGTTGAGTGAGTACACACTGCCTGCTGAGGTGGGCAGCTGATGGGGGAGGCTGGGCCCCAGGTTTGCCATACAGGTTTCTCTCCTTCAATAACAGAGGTGGGTGGGCCAGGATGGAGGAAGCATCAAGCACCAGAGGGGTCTTCCCACTGAGCATCTCCAGACCCAAACATCATAGCCAAGAACATCATGACAGAACATCATGTGCCTCAGGCCCTCATTTGATACAGGGGTGTGTGTGGCTACTGAGGACCTGCCATGTGTGCACCGATGCATCCAGGGGTCTTAGAATGGGAAGAGTGCCCATAAGCCATTGCCTCCACCCCCTCTGACCTCTTAAGACTGCCCCAGCTTCCTGACCCCAGCTCCCAGGCTCAACAGGACCTTGACCACCTTCATGTACCTGTGCCAACAGGAGCTGAGGGCCTTCGGTTGGGAAGTTTGTATACAGGTAGCATTCAGTCATGCACACTCAGGTTCTGCATCTGTTTTCTAGCCCTAGTAGTACCTTGCACATGCCATTTTGTCTGTTTTCTATTGTGTGTGTGTGGGGGGGGAGTAGACCTTCTAAGGCAAAGTCTGGATGTCTCTCCCAGACCCAGTGTCAACCTAGACAGAGTGTATAGGGACCGTAGGTCAGTAAAGAGCAAGGCAGTAGGAGATATCTCTTCCCTCCTGAAGACAGAGGCAGGAAAAGCCACTCCACCCACAGGAAGGCCTGGGGACAGCCAGCAGGCAGGAGCCCTGGAAATCTCTCCCTGAGTACTCTAGCAGTATGGGTGTTGGGGAGGGGGAACCCAGCCATACCCAGGGCTGCTGGGAGCTGGTGGGCTAAGCTTCTGGGGGACCAGATCTATCAGGGCTACAGAAAGAAGTACCACCTGGCCTCTGCCCCCCACCCCCAATTTTGCAAACCCCCTTGGAGGTATCGGTAACCGGAGTTAACTGGCCTTGCGGCCAAGAACACCTGGCTCTGTCTGGGAGGATAATTTCAAGGCACACTGACTGGTCTTCCAAGGTATAGCAGGGTAAGACCAGGGAGAAGGAAAGTCTCAGCACATGAGGTGCAAGGGGAATAGAAGCTAATAGATAAATGCCCCTGCTCTCCTCTTGATGCTCCTATGCTGAGACCCCAACTCTGCTCCTAGACAAGTTCCTAGACAGAAGCTCATAGCAAGTACTCAGATGGACCAAGAACAAAGCTGAACGAAGAACCACATGGGTTCACGTCCCAGCCTCAGTTTCCTGACCAGTCCTGAGAGTGCTGGCAGGTTGTCCTCCACCCTACCTTCTCTGCTCTTTCTGCTGAGCAGGGACAAGTTCCCACACAGTCTCTACAAAAGCCACCCTAATCCTCAGTCCTAACCATCTCCAGGCCCATTGGCCTCTGGGTGACTTACCTCAGGCCAAGCAGAGGCTAAGACAGGGCAGGGGTGAGAACTGCTGGGGGCTGATGCACAGGCTGGACCAGGCTGCTAGACCATGCCCCTGGAAGAGAAGACATCAGGTCATGTGGGATGCAGGTATCTAGTCCAAGCTCAAACCCCACCCCCAGCTGCTCCAAGCACTTAAGCACAGTTGAGGGGGAGCACAACTCTTTTATGATCCACACTAACAGAAGTCTGATGAGATGCTGGTCACCCCTAGGCTGATGCTACATTATCACAAAGCCAATGTGAGCACTAAGCATGCAGGGCTCTGCAGTCCACAAACCTGACTAGCACCTCTAGCAGTATCATGATCTGGTAGGGTAGCCCTGCACCATCACAGATGTAACTGTGTTGTGCCCAGCTCTCTGAACCCTCTGGTCCACAGGAGACTAGATGGAATCTTACATATCCAGGCTGGGCCTGTGTGAGCTCTAGGGAGCACCTATGGTCCTGCTCTGACTCCCAGACATTCTCATTAAGGGCCACATTGTTCCAACCATTCCTCCCTGGCTAAGGGCAGGGCACACATCAGATACTCCAACATATGCAAGAAACAAAGGACTAGAAACATCCCAACTCAGTCAGTGCACAAACCTTCTCTGGAACTAGGAAGCGAAACACACCATCAGCATCTTGAGCCATTCCACACATTAGCCTGACATCCCCAAACCCCCATACGGGGCCAGCTCTGAGGCCTGTCTCCTCCCTCGCTATCTATTCTCCATGTGGGGACTGAAGGACCTTCCCTGCAAACAGTACTGTGGCAATAGTCCCTGAATAGCCTCGTAGTGTATTAAAAGCTGTCCTTGTCCACTGAGTTCCACAGGACAGACTAAGGAGGGAGGCCCAGCATCGCCCACACTTCCATGAGCGGGGAAGTGAAGGTCATGGATTTCCCTCAAGGTCATGGATCTTCCAAGGGGCAGCCAGGATGGGAACCCAGACAGTCCTAACACTTGAGTCCAGTTTTTCTTCCTAGACTACAGCACAGCCTCAGTTTCCCCCTCTCCCACACGGTCTCTCCCTCCACAGCAATGATCGCAGTTATACACTGACTGCTGCTGAGTACATGAGGCCCTGAGGCTACTCCTGTTCTATAGAGTGGGAGGCTGTCTGCCTTCCTCCCACCCACCTGCCCAGTTGGCTGAGCTTCACAAGTTCAGGAGCACTCCAGCTTCATTTCCTTTTATCAGATGCCCAGCCCCAAACTGTATACAGCAGGCACTCAATAAATAATCTGTGTTTGACAGACAAATGCCTCTGAATTTAGACTTAGCCATAAAATTCAAGATTGGAAATAGAAATGTCATGTACTCTCTACCAGAAATTCTTAATGTGAGGCCACTGTGCTTTTTTTCTTAGATGGCAATGTGTGCCTGTGTGTGTGTGTGTGTGTGTGTGTGTGTGTGTGTGTGTGAGAGAGAGAGAGAGAGAGAGAGAGAGAGACAAAGGCATCTCACGTGTACATGTATGATACATATTTTTTCTTTCCTTTGATTTTTATTCATGGGTATTTATGTATGTCTTTGTGGGGGGATGTGCATATAAGTTCAGGTACCTGTGGAGACCAGAGAGTGCATCAGATCCTCTGGAGCTGGAGTTACATGTGGTTGTAGTTGCCTGACACGTGTGATGGAAACTGAACCTGCGTCCTCTAGAAGAGCAGTAGGCAGTCTTAATAGTTGAGTCATCTCTCCAGCCACTAATATGTTTTTGTTGATACTGTGGTTTGGTTGGTTTTGTTTTGATTTTTGAGACAGGGTCTCACTATGTAACTCTAGTAGCCCCAGAACTCCCTATGTAGATCAGGGAGGTCTTGAACTCACAGAGATCCATCTGCCTCTGCCTCCTGAGTTCTAGGATTAAAGGCATGTGCCACCACATCTAGTTTGATATGTATGTATGCATGTATGCTTTTATTTTATGTGTATGAGTGTTTTGCCTATGTATATAAGTGCATCTGTGTCATGCAGTGCTCAAGGAGGCCAGAAGAGGGTGTCAGATCCTCTAAAACTGGAGTTACAGGTGGTTGTTAGCCACCATGAGGGTGCTGGGAATTGAACCCAGATCCTCTGCAAGAGCAGTCAGTGCTCTTAACTCCTGATTCATCTCTCCAGCCCCTTGATATGTTTTTGTTGTTGTTGTTTTGTTTTGTTTTTAAGACAGGGTCTCCCTGTAGCCCCAGCTGGCCTAGAACTCGCTATGTAGATCAGGTTGGTCTCGAACTCACAGAGATCTGCCTGCCCCTGCCTCCCAAGTGCTGGGATTAAAGAAATGTGCCACCACACCCGGCTTTTGATATGTATTTTTAAAAATTTTATTTATTATTTTTATTTTATGTGTCTGTGTGTATTGCCTGCATGTAGGTAAGTGCACCTATGTCATGCAATGCATGCATTGGTCAGAAGAGGCTGTCAAATCCCCTGGGACTGGAGTTACAGACAGTTATTAGCTGCCATGTGGGTGCTGGGATTTGAACCTGGGTCTTCTGCAAGAACAACCAATGTTCTTAAACCACTGAGCCATCTCTCCAGCCCCCTTGATATATATTTTTCAAAAAGACTTTATTTTAGGGCATTTCTAAGTACTCAGAAAAACTGAGAGGGAGGTATAAACATCCCATGGACCCATTCATTCATGTACAACCCAGCCCACTTTCAACATCCTACCCCAGAGTGGGACGCCTATACCATTAATGGGCACTGCTCTCACCTAAGTCTACAGCTGCCACTAGGTTCACTCTTGGAGCATGTATCATGGGTTTCACAAGTGCAGGCAACCTGTGTCTGCCATGACAGTGTATACAGGCTGGCATCCTTGCCGTCAATGTCCTCTCTGCTTCCCATTGTCCCACATTTTCTTAAGGTGCTTCAGAGCCCATGGACTCACTTAACGGGGTCCAGGAGTCCTGCTTTGACACTCAGGGGATTAAGGCCCAGGCATGTGGGGGCAGGCCAGGGAACCCTGTGTAAAGTCATGAGCACACAGCATGGCACCTCAGCAGAATGCACCAGGTCATTGCACAATCTCATTTGCTGGTTCCTCACCCCGCACCCCCACCACCACCACTCCAGGCAAGAGCCATTCTTGGCAGGAGGAAGAGACTCTGGGACAGGCCCAAGTCATTCTGGCTAAGTGGAACACCCAAAATGCAAATCCATCAGGCCAGGCTCTGCTCTCGGCAATGGCTCTTGTTAAATGAAGGGGTCTTTTGAGAGGCCATGGAGATATATATATATATATATATATATATATATGAAAGAAAAATGTAATCATGACATTTGTAAGAAAATAGATGGAACTAGAATCATTATGTTAAGTGAAATAAGCCAGACTCAGAAGCTAGACTTAAAATGGTGTGTGGGTGGGGGGCTAGTTAAGAAACTACAGAGTGGATCATGAGAGGGAAGACCTTAAGGGAGGGAGGAAGTAGGGTGGTGGAATGATGTGACATGAAAGCAGAAGGGAGGACTAAGTGGGGGACAGAGGGGAACCAGCTGGAAGGGGAACAATGAAATCAAAGTATAATAATGACACCTATGTGTGAAACCACCATGAGGAAATCACTTTGTGATCAAACCTGAAAAAAATTATAATTTAAAAAAGACACCACAGGATGCTGTGAGCAAGCATCCCACTGCCCTTTAGGGGTGGTGGAGAGGGTCTCCCAACCCTGAATTGAGCAAATAAGTACCAGCCTGCCACCTCTCAGCTCCTGACACACTGGGTCATGAGTGCCTCTGATGGTTTATCTTGGTTGTCAACTTCGTTGGATCTGGGATTAACTAAGAGACACGCCTTTGGGTGGGCCTGTGAGGGTATTTCCTGAAAGAATTAACTAAAGGGAGACTGGGGAACCAGTTCTGATATGAGGAAGTCTGAGAGAAAGCACAGCTGCTTCTGCCTGCCTTCGCTCCTTGCTGTGAGGGCATCTGATGCTGCGGCTGCCTCCAGCCTTCACTGACACCAGACCCAGTTTTTGGCCCTCCAACATGAACTGAAGACCAGTGGTACTCCAGGAATCTCCCAGGCCTTCCAGCACCATGAGTTCTCAGCCTCTCTGCTATAAAAATAGCCACCGTTGGACTACTCAGCCTTATGATATAAGTCAATTAATAAATCCAATAAAGCCAATTAACAAATCACCTTTGTCATATATATTCATTCTGTTGGTTCTGTTCCTCTACAGAACTCTGACTAATGCAGTACCCAGACTTCCACAAGCTGCAGGACTTTCTACTGTCCAGACACAAAGGCCCCACTATTATCAGCATTCTGGGGACAGCTCTACATGACCACCAGTGCCAACCAAGTGCCCAGATCACCACAGGGGACCACTTCCAATCCACAAAAGCACACAGTATCCGCCATCCCTGTCCCCTATGTAGGTTCCCAGGTTTAAAGGGAACATGCTGGTCAGTGAAGGGAACATGCTGGGCCAGGGGAAATTCTCAGTCCAAGCCTGCCTCTGATGCTGAGTGACCTTACAGCACATCCTGTAACCTCTGCTAGGCTCTCCATGTGTGACTGAGACAGAATATAAAGGGAAAATTACAGAGGCATCAGAAGGAAAGGAGCCCCTCACTCCCTTTCCAGTGGCAGATAAAGACAGCAGTCCTTGCTGGAGAGGACTCAAGGAGCAGGAGTCATTAGGTGGGAATAATTATGTTGAGCTCTGTCTGGTAATGCCTGATTTCTGTCTAGCAATTGTTTTACAGATTGTCAAGAGGGGAGACATGATTCATAGAGTCGCTGACGGAGGTCCTGCTGCTCTAAACATGGGGCACTGGCATCCTGAGAAGAGAAGCTCTGTACTTGGGAGACTGGGGGTGTGGAGAACAAAAGTCCCTGTTTGGTGAGCCAGGCAAGGTCCATGCACCTGAGCCTCTGCAAGGCACATTCCACTCCACACCTTCCTTTTCTACACCTCAACTCAACCTTTTGATTCATTCAGGCCTAAGGCCCCTCCCTCCTTTGGCCAGGACCTATTCATGTCCACAAAGCTGAAGGATGGTTGTGGGGGGAAGGGGCAAGCAGGGAGGGAGGTGTCTTGGTCTC